GGAGTGCAATGCGCATTTGGAAAGGGCATACAAGGTAGAAGTCTTGCCAGTGATAAGGCTTCTAGAGTACCTTCTTAACTTGCAACAACACACTTTTCCCAAAAATGGTACTTAGCTAACATGCAGAATTTTAGTGAAGAAGGGTCAGAAGTTTTGACATTTTTATTGCGGTCTATGGCTTGCTGTCCTAGTGACAACCAATCCTCCCATTTCATGTATGGGGCACATGGAGACAAGAAAAGGAGGATCTTCTTACTAGAGTAACTAACAGAACTACACCACCACTTGGAGGTGAGGGTCGACTCTGCTCCCTACTGATTATAATATGCTCGCTACCACCATAGGTTTGCTCTTTGGATCTTTGAATGTGCTATCAAATGTTAAATGGAGAGTGCCAATTTTGGGGTTTTGTGTGGAATGTGTAAGATTTGGCTTTTTTGTTTCTCCACCACTTTTTTGTGTCATACCAACACAAACAAAAGAAATAAACATGAGAATGTCTACACATTTGTAATTTCAACAATTTTCTGGGCAAAGTGGTACATTATCAAGAAATCAAGAAGTGCCAATATATTTGGCCATGACTGAATATATATATTTATTTTTTTCCCCCCAACCTCAGTTCTCAAACTCCCAACAGGCCATAATTCATGAATATCCCTTAGATAAAATAGTTGTCATAAACACCAATTCATTGATACTGATTAAAAGCACCACAGCAAAGTGAAGGGTATCTCAAAAACATGACCTGATGGGGGTACTTGAGGACTCAGGTTTGGAACTACTGACGTAAAGCACAGTGTTTGTTTATCTTGAAGACTTGTGTTGATCTGAAGAATAACATTTCAGCAGTTTAATTTTGTTTAAGCATTTGGATGATACTATTGCAGAACAGGAGGGAGTCATGCTAAGACTGTAAACCTTTATGTTGTCAAACATTTCTATGCAGTTGAAAAAAAAGAAAAACACAGTAAAAAACAGTAAACAAACAGCAATTCCATGTTAGTAGAATAAACTTCTGCTTAATATGTGTGTATGCCTGAGGCACTGCTATCAACAAAAGCTGATGGGAGTCAAGGGGATGTAAAAAAATGGATACTGCTTAGAAATCCAGACATGCAGACTTATTTAACAGGACAGTGTGAAAAGCAATTAAGATGTTCAAGTGCAGTCACCCAAAGCTACTGGATTTCCGTGAAAGATGCAAAAGCCCTAGCTGGTCATGGTTTAGCTGGTCATAGTAATGAACAGCAGTAGGCTGCTGGTCCACAAATGGGTGCTTAGAGACTCCTAGGGTAAGATAACAGAGATGGATGACAGCAGCATAATGGGAGATACAAGATACATAGATAATTAGACATACATCAGGAACTACGGCAAGGGATCAATCAAGACTGGAGATGAAAATTAGAAAGGTAAGTCATAAAATCCAAATTCAAGTAACACAACACTAAAGAGTACTTGTTTGGAGAAAAAGAAGAAATCGGGACCAGAAGGGAAAAGAGGCTCTAAGCATGGCATGGACAACACATAGTCAAATGTGTAGAAGGAAGACACCAAAGCTAAACACATAGGACAAGGCACAGGAACAGGACAAGGTTACCAAAGGACAGGACAAGAGAAACCATAACCAAAATCACTGACTAGGGGCCATAATCATTAGATTGGGATGTTAAAACATACAGTGTTCATTATATATTATTTTTTTCAATTAAGAGATGTGGAGTCTAGATATAGTAAATCCCCACTTTACTTGCATATCCAAGCGCACAAATTTACATTTCACATTAAAGCAATGCAACCAGGTTTCAAGTTCATGCTCTTTTTCAAGCACATTTGGCTTGAAAAAAAGAGTGTGGGCTTGAAACCTGGTTACATTTGCTTTAATGTGATATGCAAATGTATGCACTTGGATATACAATTAAAGTGAGCATTTACTAGATCTACACTCCACATTGCTTGATTGATTATATGGAAGCAGTGAATATGGTCCAATTCTGCAGTTGGAACGTGTGTGTGTGTGTGTGTGTGTGTGTGTGTGTGTGTGTGTGTGTGTGTGCGTGCGTGCGTGCGTAACGAACCTGTTGTAGTCATGTTTTACTTATTACTGAGTTTTGCCATTTGATAGTAGAGGAATGGGCCCAATGGTGTAAGCATAAAATCAGCATAATTTATGATAATTCAGAGGGATTATAAACATTGCTAAACACAATCCAAATTTTGGATAGAGTAGGAGATGGTTAAAATCACTATCAGACTGTTTCTTACTACCATTTCTACGAAGGAAAATTTCCCTTCACTTCCTGTCCTTTGTACAAAATAGGAAATAAAGGGAAATCTACAAAGCAAGGGAAATTCATTCTTAAATGAATTTCTAGTGGAGGATATACCCTCTAGCCCAGATCCAGGGACAACTCAAATTTAGATGCACCTGGATTGCCATTATTATAATATGTACTCTGGAGAAACATCTAAAAACATCAGGCTTCACTATACAAGGTCCACTACCATGGCATAATAGCTTAGCACGTGAATTTCCGTAAGAGGATGGCTGACTTTTCATTTACTCACGCTTAGAATTAGAATTGGCAGGTGACATTATACAAAGGAGGCACTGGAAGCCCTAACTACCTTTTTCACCTTTTTTGCCAAAATGATGCATTAGTAACCCAGTCAAGTTCCAAAAACAGTTATGCTGTTTTCAATGTCTTTGTGCCTCTATTATCAAGTTAAAGCATTCATTAATTTAGAACCCTCAGCAAGGTCAGTGAGAACATTCATTTGAATGCTTTTAATGAAGTTTCCTAGCACAAGCTCCTTGTCAGTTTCCTTTTTTTTGGAAAGGAGAGTATCAACATTAACAATCACTGGTTACACCATTTATGAAACATGCAGATGTGGATTATTAAAGATTAATGCATTTCGGGATTGATGTCGGCATTCCGTTTGTCTCACGCCGAAACTAATTCTGTTCTTCATTAGTCAACGACAAATCACATCATGAGGATGCAGCACAGATATCAAAGGTGCAAACACGGGTGGAGAATAAGTGATGAAACTGGTTACTAAGCTACTTTACAAAGATAATCACTTAGCAGGGAGTCATTTATAAAGTGCCACAAAGTCACAAAAAACACTATCTGTATGCATTTGAAGAGGATGTGAAAAATTATGTTTAGCCAAGCCCCTATATTTTTTCTACTGTTTAAATAGCTTGGAGTGTAAAAACACAAAATGTAAGATAACATCCAAGACTTTGCCACCATATTGATAACAGGGGACAAACCCAGACTGTGTGTGCTGTATGTCCACATCCCAGCAAATCATGTACAACTATGAACAGAATATGTAGTCTTGGACTTTGTGTGAACATATAGAGGAGAAACTGAGTACCATAAAAATAGCTTTATTATGTACCATTAAAAGTGTATTACACAACATTAAAAATTACTCTCCACATAGGGGTTCACAACATGCAAACAATCCAATTACAGTTCACATGCACATTTCAGAAATCCTTTTTCAGTAGCGCAGAAACCCACTCCTACTATTTAATAATATCTACCAGTAAGGTAGACTGGAATTCATAGCATGTACATGTTGCCCATAGAGGTGCAAATGGGAACACAAAGGTGAAGCCACTGCCTCTCAGGTATAATACTACTTAAACATAATCTTAAAATAGAAGGACCAAATTCCAATGGGAAATTATTTGGACCCAATGTAAGTAAGTCACCATAATGACAGTATGGTAGTCAAAGTAGTCAAGGCACATATATTCTAAAGAGGGGGCTCTTGATGAGTATCTTAGAAGAAAACTCAGTTCACATAAATCCAGCCTGCTGTCTATATGGTTATATCTGCTTAATACGTGCCAACATAAAATTGCCAAACATCAGCTGATAGCATCCTGTGTTGCACACTTTGCCAGTGGACTACAAAATAACTCTCCCTTATGTTAAGGAGTGTAGGTGTTCTGTAGTCCTGTCTAGGATGATAATACTGCTGCATACATATATACAGCTAGGTGAGACATGCCTTAAACCAGAGTTCCAGTCCCATGCTAAATAAAAAATAAAAGTCAGCAGCTACAAAAATGTAGCTGCTGACTATTAAAAAAACAGCCACTCACTTGTCCCTCAATCCCATGGTGTCCTCACCGCAGCCTGTTTCACCCGCCGTCCAGTATTCCCAGTGCCGGCATCTTCAGTGTGGGCACCTGGCTGTGACAGCTAGCGGCTTCACAGCTGGGTGCACCCGGCGCATGTGCGAGTAGCGCTGCGCTTTCTGAATGGTCCTGTAGTCTTTTGGAACTTGTCACGTGTTCCAGAAGACTATGGTGGGAGGACAACTTCCGTTTGCAATTGCAGTGGAAGTGGGTGCGGGTCAGTTTTGGGTACCTGCTCCCCAAAGATGCCAATTGGCCAGTCTTCGGCAGGTTGGGAAAATATTGGTGGATTCCTAGCATTCATAAGTTCAGCAGCGATATATATATATATAAATATTAATTTATTTATATTTATTTTGTACATATACACTTTGGGGTTGATTTACTAAAGGCAAATAGGCTGTGCACTGCAATTGCACTTGCAAGTGCACTGTAAGTGCTCGGCATGTGCATTTATGCTAGATCTCAGGAGAAGCTCTGAAATGAGGAAAAGCTCTGCTGATTTCTATTATCCAATCAAGTGCAAGCAAAAATGCTGTTTTCTATTTTCCTTGCATGTTCCCCTCAGATATAGAGTAACTGCACAGACTATTTGCCGTTAGTAAATCAACCCCAGTGTATGTGTGTGTATGTACACGCACATATATATATATATATATATATATATATATATATATATATACACACACACACACATATATATATATACACATATATACACATACACACACACTATATTGCCAAAAGTATTTGGACACCCCTCCAAATAATTGGATTCAGGTGTTCCACTCACCGCCATGGCCACAGGTGTATAAAATCAAGCACCTAGGCATGTGAAAGAATGGGTCGCTCTCAGGAGCTCAGTGAATTCAAGCATGGTACCATGATAGGCTGCCACTTGTGTAATAAGTCCATCCGCAAAATTTCCTTGCTACTGTGGTCAACTGCTAGTGGTATTATAACAAAGCGGAAGCAACTGGGAACAACAGCAACTCAGCCACAAAGTGGTAGGCCATGTAAACTGACAGACCGGGGTCAGCACATGCTAAAGCGCTTAGTGCGCAGAAGTCGCCAACTGAATGCAGAGTCAATAGCTAAAGACCTCCAAACTTTGTGTGGCCTTCAGATTAGCACAATAATGCGTAGAGAATTGGTTTTCATGGCTGAGCAACTGCATCCAAGTCTTACATCGCCAAGTGCAGTGCAAAGCGTAGGCTGCAATGGTGTAAAGCAGAGTAGTGGAGACGTGTTCTCTGGAGTGACAAATCAAGCTTCTCTGTCTGGAAATCCAATGAAAGTGTCTGGGTTTGATGGTTGCCAGTAGAACGATACTTGTCTGACTGCATTGTGCCAAGTGTAAGGTTTGGTGGAGGGGGGATTATGGTGTGGGGTTGTTTTTCAGTGGTTGGGCTTGGCACCTTAGTTGCAGAGAAGGAAACCCTTAAGGTGTCAGCATGCCAAGACATTTTGGACAATTTCATGCTCCCAGCTTTGTGAGAACAGTTTATGGATTGCCCCTTCCTGTTCCAACATGACTGCGCACCAATGCACAAAGTAAGGTGCATAAAGACATGGATGAGCGAGTTTGGGGTGGAGGAACTTGACTGGCTTGCACAGAGTCCTGACCTCAACCCAAGAGAACACCTTTGGGATGAATTAGAGCGGAGACCTCATCGGACATCAGTGCCTGACCTCACAAATGCGTTTCTGGAAGAATGGTCAAAAATTTCCATAGGCACACTCCTAAACCTTGTGGACAGCCTTCCCAGAAGAGTTGAAGCTGTTATAGCTTCAAAGGGTGGACCAGCTCAATAAGGAACCCTACAGACTATGACTGGGAGGCCATTAAAGTTCATGTGTGTGTAAAGGCAGGCATCCCACAACTTTTGGCAACATAGTGTGTGAGTGTGTGTGAGTGTGTGTGTGTGTATATATATATATATATATATATATATATTGTAAGCTCTAACGAGCAGGGCCCTTGGTTTCCTCTTGTACCAAATTGTATTGTTACTGTAATGTCTACTTTAATTTTGTAAAGCACTGCGCAAACTGTTGGCGCTATATAAATCCTGTATAATAATAATAATATAATATATATGCACACATACACATACTATATATGTATGTATATACATACATACATATATATTTTATATATACACATGCACACACACACCACAACAAAAAGATACATATACACACAGTGAGAGAGAAAGGTGTGTATGACCTACAAAATATCCATTACCATTAAAAACTCACTTTGAATCTGCTTATATTTTTGCAATCCCTGGTTCCTCCTTTCCCCTACCTCAACATGCTAATATTTTTAATTTAAATCTGCTTTCATGATATACTTTATTTTGAATACACTGACAATAATAGGTCTCTGGTTTCTCTAAGCAATGCAGGGAGGTCATGACTGCTGGGAGGAACCTACAGGTTGGTGTGCATAGCCACCTGATAACATCACAGCACCCTGGCTTGATATTCTTCATCCCTGATTCAAGTAGTGGGCTGGCTTGTGGGAGACGTTATTCAACTCTCAAAATGTTTTGATGTGTGGATGTCAGACTGGAGGAGTGGGCATTTTTACACAGGATGCATATGCATGCTAACCAACCTAGTCAACAGCCACACGTGATGTTAACCCTCCATTATCAAAAGACCTAAAATTCAATTAAAGAGTATACCAGGGACAGCCATGTTTTGGAGGAAGGCTAGATGATGATGGGTGTCCTTCAGTCCAGAAATGAGGCGGACTCTGACTGGCTGCTGCATCTAATGCACATTGTGAGAAGCTCAGAGTGTGCAGTGAAACCAAAGTAAGCAGATTCAATAGAGAAGAGGAGCCTGAGTGACTGTGCAAGACTCTGTTAACCTTGGGTAGGTCTTATGAGTGTTCTTCTCATACAGTCAAAGTAACAGAATTTTCTCTGCATTATTCAGTAGCAATGTAAAAAGGCCATTCTTAAGTTTATTTAGCTGTGTTTGCTCCAGAAGGATCAAACAATGGCGTTTTGAATAATTAAATTGTCTACAACAAGTATATGTTTTGAAGTGAACTAGTGCCAGAGCAGTATAAAATATGAGATTGTCTATACATGGGATGGTGCTTTTCTGTTCTCTCTCTCTGACAAATTCCACCGAAGTCAGCAGTGTGAGCTGACACAGCACATCATCAAAATGCACAGCTTCTGCCAGACAACGTAGCAAATGCTAATTTCATTTGTCTTGCTTCGCATGCCAAATTGTACCAGTTTACTAACAAAGCAAAAATGTAAATAAGGAAAACGGTTTCAAGGCTCAGATTTCTTTTTTGTTTTCTTTCAGTTTTTTTTATTTTCCCTGAGTTGGGTTGTCTTTCGTCAGCGGTTTGCCTAGCAAGTGGTAAGAGAAATGTAATTTCCATTGAATATTAAACAGGGGCATGAGGTCGATGGAAGAGAAGAAGGGCATTATGTGGGATGTTTGAAGAGGCTTTTTTCTGTGCTCCTCAAAGTTGCAGTTGGGAATTTAAAACCTCTCAAAAGTTAAACCCTATGCCCTCTATGTTCTATGACTCGCCTAGTGTAGTAATGCTATTTAATAGCAAAAAAATGAATCTTATATGTAATACATTTACTTAATATTTCATTATACTTCATATCAATGTAGAAATTTGCATAAAATATTTAATTTTTAAAAGAAATAATTAAAGCTGTACTCTACAACAAAATACACTAAAAAAAAACATAAGGGGGATGATTTGCATAACAAAGGATTTGTATTTCTGTCCTTCCAGCCTTGAGATTTGCACAGTCCTGCTGGGCAGAGTGGATGACCTCATTGATGCTGCAGTTAAGTAACACTTAAGCTGGTTGTACACTGATCAAAATGTGTCCATTTCTGCAGGGACCAACCAAATTACAAGAAGGGTGTAGCTGTCCCCCTTGATAGACGTTGCTAGTTTGATCGACTTTTGTTGAATGTTGAAGAGATGTGCTGGAAATGTTTGTTTTCGATGAGTGGCTGCTGATTGGAGTATTCTGATAGCAGCGGGAGCTACTCACAGGAGTATTCTGACAGCAGCGGGAGGCACTGATTGGAGTAATCCAGTGTTTCTCAATTCCAGTCCTCATGGACCCCCAACAGGTCATGTTTTCAGGATTTCCATTATTTTGCACAGGTGATTTGATCAGTTTCACTGCCTTAGTAATTACCACAGCTGTTTCATCTGAGGGAAATCCTGAAAACATGACCTGTTGGGGGTCCATGAGGACTGGAGTTGAGAAACACTGGAGTAATCTGACCGCAATGGGAGCTGCTGATTGGAGTATTTCTGACAGCAGCAGCAGGAGCCACTGCTTGGCGTATTCTGACAGCAGCAGGAGCCACTGCTTGGCGTATTCTGACAGCAGCAGGAGCCACTGCTTGGCGTATTCTGACAGCAGCAGCAGCCACTGCTTGGCGTATTCTGACAGCAGCAGGAGCCACTGCTTGGCGTATTCTGACAGCAGCAGGAGCCACTGCTTGGCGTATTCTGACAGCAGCAGCAGCAGCCACTGCTTGGCGTATTCGGACAGCAGCGGAAGCCAATGATTGGAGTATTCTGACAGCAGCGGAAGCCAATGATTGGAGTATTCTGTCAGCAGCAATGGTTGCTGCTTGGAGTATTCTGACAGCAGTGGGAGCTACATCAGAAATCAGAATACATTGTCTAAACTGAGGGATTATTATTATTTATTACAGGTACTTATATAGCGCAGTCAATTTAAGCAGCGCTATATATATATATATATATATATATATATATATATATATATATATATATATATATATATATATATATATATATATATATATATAGTACATTCACATCAGTCCCTAACCCTCAAGGGGCGTTCAATCTAAGGTCCCTAATTTACATTCATACATACACATACTAGGGCCAATTTAGCCAGGATCTAGTTAACCTACCAGCGTGTCTTTGGAGTGTGGGAGGAAGTTGGAGTACCCGGAGGAAACCCATGCAGGCACAGAGATAACATGCAACACCAGGCAGGTGGTGCCGTGGTTGGGATTCGAACCAATGACCCTAGTGCTGTCAAGTAGAAGTGCTAACCATTTAAACACTGTGCTGCCTCCATCCACCTGCTTTCTTTGAATGGAGGAATCCTGCTGGTTGAATGAAAAAACTAATAGTGTATGGCCAGCTTTCATTCAGAGAAAGCAAACTCCAGGCAGGTGGCCCTGTGGTTGGGATTCAAACCAACGATCCTAGTGCTGCCAGTTAGAAGTGCTAACCATTTAACCACTTTGTTGCCCCTCCATCTACCTGCTTTCTGTGAATACAGGAATCCTGCTGGTTGAATTAAAAAAAAAACTAAGTGTATGGCCAGTTTTCAGGTTTCATCTCTCCCCTAGTCAGTGACATCCAGTGAAATGGCAAACAGAAGACTGATGAGCTCATCTCTCTGTCAGTCTGCTTTATCTTCCGATCAACATACTCCTTGTTAACATATGAGCACTGCAGGACAGTTGAATGGCTAATTGCTTGCTTCCCCCTCTTCCAGGTCTGAGCTTTGCTAAAGGCTGATAATAAGTCAAATTCAGGTACTTACACTGCTTGAATTAAAATACATACCGTATTTGCCGGCGTATAAGACGACTGGGCGTATAAGACGACCCCCCTACTTTTCCTGCTAAAATGTAGTGTTTGGGCTATACTCGCCGTATAAGACTACCCCTCTTCCAATGCACACCAGTGGGAGGAATAGTGCCCCATCATTGATGTCAGTGGGAGGAATAGTGCCCCATCATTGGCATTAGTGGCAGGAATAGTGCCCTATCATTAGTATCAGTGGAGGAATAGTGCCCCAGCATTGGTGTCAGTGGGAGCAATAGTGCCCCATCATTGGTGTCAGTGGGAGGAATAGTGCCCCATCATTGGTATCAGTGGCAGGAATAGTGCCCCATCATTGGTGTCAGTGGGAGGAATAGTGCCCCATCATTGGTGTCAGTGGGAGGAATAGTGCCCCATCATTGGTGTCAGTGGGAGGAATAGTGCCCCATCATTGGTATCAGTGGGAGGAATAGTGCCCCATCATTGGTATCAGTGGCAGGAATGGTGCCCCATCATTGGTATCAGTGGCAGGAATAGTGCCCCATCATTGGTGTCAGTGGGAGGAATAGTGACCCATCATTGATGTCAGTGGGAGGAATGGTGTCCCATCATTGGTGTCAGTGAGGGGTGGAATAGTGCCCCATCATTGGTGTCAGTGAGGGGTGGAATAGTGCCCCATCATTGGTGTCAGTGGGGGGTGGAATAGTGCCCCATCGTTGGTGTCAGTGGGGGGGGGAATAGTGCCCCATCATTGGTGTCAGTGGGGGGGAGGAATAGTGCCCCATCGTTGGTGTCAGTGGGAGGAATAGTGCCCCATCATTGGTATCAGTGACACCAATGATGGGGCACTATTCCTCCCACTGAGACTTGCTGACCCTGTTCTCGTATGGTGCTGCTGCAGCCAGCATATGTGGTTGCAGCAGCACCTCTACACAGAACACTTACCTGCTGCTCCGGCACTCAAATTTCGCGGGGGCCGCTCGGCTCCGCCCCCTCGCCGGTGATTGGCCGCCTGTGTGCCTTTCCTGAGCTACAGTTCTGGCGGCCAATCACCGGTGAGGAGGCGGAGCCGAGCAGCCGCACGAACATCCAGTGGCCGAACTGAAGGAGACGCCGCGCTTCCTGGACCGGATCGTCGTGGGACTGGATCCAGGTAAGAGACATCAGCCCCTGCAAACCCCTGTACTTAATGCCGCAGCCCCCCTAAACATGTGTACCGGCGTATAAGATGACCCCCGACTTTTGAGAAGATTTTCAAGGGTCAAAAAGTCATCTTATACGCCGGCAAATACGGTATATTTATTAATATATTAACCACTTGCCCTCCTGAGGATTTACCCCTCTTCCTGACCAGGTCTTTTTTACGTCATGCAATGCTGCAGCCAAATTAAATGTCCTTTTTTCCCCACAAATTGAGCTTTTCTTTGGTGGTATTTGATCGCCTGTGCATTTTTTATTTTTTTTTAAAAAAAAGACCAACATGTTTTGCTATTAAACATTTCCAGTAAAATTTAAAAAAAAAAAAAATCAAATTTCATCATAAGTTTAGGCCAAAATGTATTCTGCTACATGTCTTTGCAAAAAAAAAAAAAATCCCAATACGTGTAAATTAAGGAGTTTACGTGAAAGTTATAGGGTTTACAAATGGAGGTATATATACTGGGATTTTTTCTTTTTTTGTTAATCTTTACTATTAATGGCGGCGATCAGCGACTTATAGTGGGACTGCGGCGGACATTCTGACACTGGGGGAAACTGACTTGGTGTCAATGACATCCCCAGTGACACCAATACAGTGATCAGTGCTATAAAAAAAAAAAAGCACTGATACTGTACTAATGGCACTGGGCAGGAAGGGGTTAACATGAGGGGCGATCAAAGGGATAACTGTGTGCAGGGAGTGTTTTACTATGGGGCGGTGTCTGTGTGCTTCATTGTAATCACACTGCTCTGGATGGATGGCACACAGCCATCCAAAGCAGTGTGCCCGAGCTGACAGGGAGGAGAACTGTTAGTGGACAAAACAGTTCTCCTCCCCGTCGGAGATCTTTGGAAATCACCGGGCGAGTAATTACTGGCCGGGACTCAGGGATTGAATGGTGGCATGGGTAGGGCGCGCACCCCCTACCCAGAAATGCAAAATTACGTATATATATGTGATTTTGTGCACCCGTAGCAGTATTTCTGCTATAGTGCGGTTGGAAAGCAGTTAATGAATACAGGTTTGCATTACTTTGTATCTTATATATCAGCCCTGATTTTAACTGTAAAATGCAGAATCCACCCATAATTTACATTTGAATTATGGGTAAGCTTGTAAGGCTGAATCACCTAGTAACTCTTTATAACCTATAGAGACACATACTGTACCTGAGTGTGTCCTTACCTTGTCTTTCCTCATGCACACTAGCCTGCGCGGTAAAATGCAGTCTGTGTGAGGTCCAGTAGGTGGAGGTGTGATATGCTTGTCAAGGCAACACGTTTTTTTAATTTCTTTTTAAACTTTATTTAACGTGTCGCATAGTTACACTTTATTCATGTCTCTTCAGAACAGCATGCTGTGTTTATACGTGTTGCCATCTAATGCACAGCACACCACAGATGACAATTGTGTTCTTTGTGCCTTAGCAGTGATTTGCATTTTTCCTCTGCAGAAAAACACAGGTCATCTCATATTGTGTGAATGTACCCTGATTTATTTACAAGAAAGCAATAGGATGAGCAGGACTCTTCCTCTGAGGTAAAAGATGGAAGCTTAGCTAGGAACTGTCAGTGAGAGTTAACCACTAGGGTTCCTAAACAGATATAAGAAAACAGCAGAAGACTTGTCTCAAAGGTGTTAACTGAAGAATACATTTTGACTCTTTGCAAAACGGCTGTTGGTTGGTCCTGATGAAAGGTGGCCAACAAGTCTATTGCAAGTAGCCTGTTCAGGAACTAGTTATGAAAGGATGGTGCTGATAGTACTGCATCAATGCTGAGACAAATCCCACAAAATGCTTGGGGTTGCCCTGATCTTCCAATCACAGATCTTTGTTAATATTTCAACCTCTACTAAAATGTTAGCTATCATACTAGCTTTCCTTATGTACTCACCAGGAATACTAGCAGGTGATATTGGACCTGATCTTGATTGGTTGCTCCCAACTGGTGAGCCCACAGGTGATGGTGATGGACCACCACCCTGAATGCTTGGTAGATGTGGTGATGCATGAGGAGAAAAGGGTGACTGTGCAGGATTGCTTTGCTCTCCCTGGCTGCTTGTAGAACCCGAGGCACTCACAGCAGAACTTAATGTTGCTTCAGTTCCAGTTGGCAAGTCATCAATAGAACCAGATAAGTCCTGTGAGACAAGTAAGAACTAACAGTTAGACAGAGCTGACATCAAGTCATGAATTTACAATCTTACAGACATTTTTTTGGGTACATGATTCTAAATGTCAAAAAAATCTAAAAAACTTAATCAGTGTAAGTAAATGTGCCATTTTATTTCCACAACTTATTTAATGCTGAGACAATATATAACACTTTACTTAGTACATAGAGTCATTCATATTAGTCCCTGTTTCCCATTGCAACTCAAAGTCTCTGCTAAACCCTTTCATATTCTAAAATCCGTATGGATAGAAGGTAATAAGTTTTTGGATTGTGGGAGGAAGCTAAATCACCTAAAGCATGGGTGTCAAACTGGCGGCCATCCAGCTGTTATTAAACTACAAGTCCCATCATGCCTCTGCCTTTGGGAGTCATGCTTGTAACTGCCAGTCTTGCAATGCCTCATGGGACTTGTAGTTTGACAACAGCTGGAGGGCTGCCAGTTTGACACTCATGACCTAGAGGAAGCCTATACAAGCACAGGGAAAGCGGTTTACTCCATTTAGACAGAGTCCTATGTGTAACGCAAACCAAAGACCCAGAGCTACAAGGGGCAAGATTGATAACACCTTAAAAGAGAAGTATGGGCTTTTATTTATTTATTTTTTTCCCCCAATTATACTTACCTAGGTGAATGTAGCATCAGTCCAATGCTGCATCTGTCCTCTGCCGGCTATAAGTGTGAGAACTCAGTGATCACATGATCACACAGTTCTCACAGCTGCTCTGAGCAGAGAGCCATGACTGTCAGTCACCGCTGTCTGCTCTGTCCCCCAGCGCTCACTGGAGCACTGGGCTGTGAAGGGGGAGGGAGTGGCTGTCTCAGGCTCTCAGCGGCACCCTGAGAGGCTGAGCCAGGTGCCACGCCAGACTCTGAGGTGGATCCCAACTTTAAAGTCAAGATCTTTCCCTAGCCTGGACTGACATCAGCCTGCTGTCAGCTGAAAACGGGTCACAGGAGTGCAGAACAAACTACACTCCTGTGATCTACAGGATAAGTAAAGCCAAAAGAGCTTTGGCTGTACTTCTCCTTTAAAGTGTTACTAAACCCAGGACCCTGCGTTCACAATATCTGGTCTCCCACAGTACACAGAACATGGAAATGCAATTATTTTAGTAAATATAAACTGCTAAATACCTTTTCTTATCAGCAGTTAGAGCAGTCTTGAGACTTCTTACAGTGCCCAGCAGAGCATTGGCTAAAGCTTGTAGGAAGTTTTTCTTTCTGCTTTCTAGGAGGATGCAAACCCCTGACCTCTGTCTGGACAGTGCTGATTGGCCCTGTGCTGATCACATGCACTCACCCAAGAAAAAAAACAAACAAACAAAAAAAAAAACCTTTCTAGCAATACACATCAAACTGAGCATGTGCAGAATGGCTACGGATTCAGTCTATCTTATCAGGAGATAAGTTGTGGACATTTGAACAAGAGGAGGAGGAGAGAAGACAGGATCAAATGGCCTTTTTACACAATGCAGAGGATTAATCCCTTAGGTTCCACAGTGAGTATAACAAGCATGCTTTACTGCATATACAGACTGATTGTACTGTTGTGGGTTTAGTAACATTTTAAGGAAAGTGCTGCCCAAAGGACAAAACATATTTATGCAGTATAATTTTACAGTATTCTTAACAAAAAAGCTTTGAAATCAAAGCAGCTATTAGGCAAGTTGATAAGCACAGGTCAAGGACGTCCCATGATGAACTTGGAATATTCTTCTCATGGCATTAACAGGCCATGGTGATACTAGATGTTTTATAACTTATTGGTCACATTTTGTACATTATGTCCATCCACATATACAGCAGTCATTGTTTCCAGCACGCAACTGCTGAAAGCAAAGACAATACAAGGTACAACTAGATATACCCATGTTTGAGCTGCCAACATGCAACAATGACTGTGTGGGAAAAAAATTAAAAACCGCACAAATTAGATATGCAATCATCTTTATCTGACTATTGATAGTGAAGTTCCAAAACAAGGAAAAATGCCAGAGTTTACTTTAAAGTGCCATTTATTTTGGCAGAGGACTTTGGATAGCTCCAGATAAGGTAAACATGTCTCAGAAGGGATCATTGTAGCCCTATAGATTAGGCTTACTTTAATGTTAAATTCAGGGGTAGGAGGTATAGCTTAAGAGGTAGAATTCAGAGAGTTAGGCGTTAAGGCCACCTTTTAAGGGTTAGGTTAAGGGTTTAGGAGGTCAAATTAAGGGTTTGGTTAAAGGTTACAGGAGGTGTAAAGTTTGAGGGTGAATTTAAGGGGTTAGGTTTAATGTTAAAGCTTTGAGTAAGAAGGATTAAGTGGGCATCACAGTGGCTAAATGGTTAGCACTTCCGCCTGGCAGCACTAAGGTTGTTGGTTCAAATCCCAACCACGGCACCACCTGCCTGGAGTTTGCATGTTTTCCCTGTGCCTGTGTGGGTTTCCTTCCGGTACTCTGGTTTCCTCCCACACTCCAAAAGACATGCTGGTAGGTTCATTGGCTCCTGCCTAAACTGGCCCTAGTATGTGTATGTATTAATGTGAGTTAAGGACCTTCAATCGTATGCTCCGTGAGGGTTAGGCACTGATGTGAATGTACTATATATAAATATCTATCTATGTGTGTGTGTGTAAACCACTGTGTAAATTGACAGCGCTAAACAAGTACCTGTAATGAATAAAATAAATAGGTGCTTTACGATCAGAATTAAGATATGATGGTGAATAGACTCCCTCAAGAGTTGGTTCTGGCCAGCTCAGTGGATTGCTTTAAAAAAGGCCTGGATTGTTTCCTAGAGACAAAATATAACTGGATGCTAACATTTATAGGTACAGTCCCTATTCCAGGGAATATCCGATTGCCTCTCAGGGGATCAGGAAGGAATTTTTTTCCCCTGCAGGAGCAAATTGCATCATACTTTGCTGGGGATTTTTTTTTTTGCCTTCCTCTGGACAGGGGCGGATTGACAACTCATGGGGCCCCCGGGCAATAGGGGATCATGGGGCCCCTGTGTCCTTGCCCAAACTCAAAAAAGCCTATGAAAAAGGTACCAGGGGCATCTCATGGGGACCCCTACTTACCCCGGGCCCTCGGGCAGTGCCCGAGTTTCCAAATGGTCAGTCCGACCCTGCCTCTGGATCAATTGTGGATATAAGATTATACCCTTTTTTTTTTGTTGGTTGAACTGGATGGACTTTTGTCTTTTTTTCATCCAGACTATGTACTATGTGAAGGACACCTGGGGAAAAAACATTTTAACTTTACCTCTTTCTGATGCAAGAAGATCTTTGACAAGAGCTACAGTTTGTGGGTACCTGACATCATAAACAATGGTACTGATATAAATCACATATAACAGAAGGGTTTTTTGTAACAAATTTATACAAGATTTAAAAGCTAGTTAGTGACACCAGGCATCTGTTTTGTCCTTGTTTAATACAGTCATAGCACCAAGCAATACTACAACATTGTTTTCTCCAAGGTTTCATGGCAAAAAAAGTTAAAGAACAACTGAAATAAAACATAGTGTTTTACAATACACACTGAAGAGGGGCTGCTAGAGTATTGTGAATATTAGAGCAAAAAAAAAAAAAAAAATGTTACAGTACGCTGTATTCTGATGGCTTTACAAATCCTCTTTCTGCTAATCCCCTGGGGACATGTGTTGGAGTGAGTGACAGGTCTCATGCACTTTCTTAAGTTCATGCCTTCCAGGGATTTGTTCTCACAA